AGAATCTGGGTTTGGATTACAAGAGCTAATTCAGTGACTGGTGTATATATGAAAAGCCTCATAAAAGGTCCTTTCTGTAGATAGTCTTCCAAACACAGAGAATTCTGCTCATGTACAGCTGTAGGACTTCAGTGATCTCTTCGTAGCCTTGAAAGGTTAGTAGGCTCTGGAGAGGGGTGGGAGTGCTGCAGTGGGAAATAGCTTTTAAAATCTGCCTTGTAATTAAGATCTAATGTTACAGTCATAACTCCTGATTTTTCTTTTATAACCTAGCCCTGAGCAGTTGTATCCAAAACCTGGAATTTGCAATGTTTACTGTATTTGGAGGAATTCCATGTCATGAAGAAGTATTTTGAGCAGATCACTAAATCATTCTTATGTTTGACTCTTTATTCTGTGTTAAACTGATTTCTCATGACTGTGAGAATTACAAACTCCCAGTCAACCCAGAACTTGTGCAGGATTTGCTTTTCCAGCTGGATTGCTATATGTCTATGCAGCCTGATGGGATTCATCCAAGAGTACTCAAAGAGCTGGCTGGTCATCGTGAGACCTCTCTCAATGATTTCTGAATGGTCTTGGGAATCTGGAGAGGTCCCAGTTGACTGGAAGCTGGCTAATGTTGCCTCAGTATTCAAGAAGGGTGACCATGGAAACTACAGGCCTGTCATTCTTACTTCAGTGACCGGTATGGAGAAGATTACTCTGGGAGTTACTGAAAAACACCTGGAGAACAACATGGTCATTGGTCACAGCCAAAATGGCTTCATAAGGGGAAAGTCCTGCTTGTTGAACCTGATTTCCTTTTATGACAAGATAACCCACCTAGCTGACCAAGGGAGAAGCCAGCTGATGTAATCTTTTTGGATTTCAGTAAAGCTTTTGTTACTGTCTCTCACAGGATCCTTCTGGACAAAATGTCCAGCCCACAGCTGGATAAACACATTGTGTGGTGGGTGAGCAGCTGGCTCATGGGCCGAGCACAGAGGGTAACAGTGCATGGGGTAACATCAGAATGGTGACCGACCTGTCACTAGTGGGGTTCCACAGGGCTCCATCTTGGGCCCTCTGCTCTTCAACATCTTCATAAAGGACTTGGGCACGGACTGGAAGGGATACTGAGCAAGTTTGCAGAGGACACCAAGCTGGGAGGAGCTGTTGACTCCCTGGAAGGCAGGGAGGCCCTGCAGAGAGACCTCGACAAATGAGAGGACTGGGCAATCACCAACCACAGGAAGTTCAACAAGGGAAAGTGCTGGATTCTGCACCTGGAATGGGGCAACCCTGGATGTACAGACAGACTGGGGCATGAGAGGCTGGAGAGCAGTGCTGTAAAAAGGGACCTGGAGGGGTCCTGGTTGTTGGCAAATTGAGTATCAGTCAGTAGTGTGGGCTCTGGGAGCTGGGGAGAAGAGGGACAATGCTGCTTGGGAGCGTAAGAAGTGTTAAATGCCTTGAAGTAACAGCTGTGCTCTGATCTGTGCCCTCACAGAGGTGATCCAGTGTGCAGGCTGTGTGCCAGAAGCCTGTTGTGTCCATGTCACACCAAATGCATGGCCAATGAGCAGTCACAGCCAGTTCTCAGTGCCCAGTTTTGCAGACTGGAGAGGATTGCTTCAATGGTAACAGTCACTGATTTGATTTTTTTTCTTAAAGAATCCAGGGTAAATAACCTAATTAGAGTCATTAGAAGGTGCCTCATGCAATCAGGACCCTGACAACTGTGGCAATCTCTTCATGCTTTGAGCTCTATTACCTTTCCAAGCTTAGCTCTTCTTGGGAAACAGTTGCCCAGAAAAAAAGGAGATACCCTATTTCAGCCTCTTTCAATTCTCTGAATGAAACTGTAATTTGCTGTTGTGGTTTCTTACTGCTTATAAAATAAACTCTTCCAATAATCATGACTGTGATTGCTGGCAAAGTAAATGTGATTTAACTGGCATGAGGAATAATCAAGACATCCTTGCATTAACTTCCATCTTCACTATTTTAAAAAGAATTTTTTCTCTTTAACTTAAGGCTTGAGCTTGAAAGTACCAGTCTTTGCCATTGAAAACAGCAGCTGAATCAGCATTGATAGTCTTGCCAAAGGCAATGAATCTTTTAAATCACTTCCTATTTACTAAATGTCTTTATGATTCTCTGGCTAAAGAGTCATAGTTTCCACAGAATTCACCATTCCACAGACTTTTCTCAACATCATAAAGAAAACTTTGAAGAATTTGTAATGCAGTCTATCTAGAGTGTTGTTGCCTTAGTCAAGGACACCTAAACCATTTGCAAAGTTTCCTGCTTTCAAGAATTGCCATATTTTGGTGTTTCCTGCAATGGGAACATTGCTCAAGATTAAAGCTACTGGCCTTTGAATTACACGTCACAGATGTTCGTGGTCACTAGGCAAGGGTATGTCAGAAATTAAGTAATCAGGGATGAAAAAATACAATAGAAAAGAGACAGTCATTGACAAAGTGGGAGGAGAAAGCTCTAGGTATTCAGGTAGAGCTGCTGGATGCACAGATTTAAGAGTCTGTAAGTTGGCTGGGAATGCAGAGAATTTATCTGATGAAGTATGAATGAGCCTTCCACAGCAATAATTGTGGTGACTTTTATCTCTCTTGGTTAAATAACCCTTGGTTGGTTCTGGTTCAGCAATTCCACTCATCTTGTCCCCTTCTTGTAGCAATTCTAAGCAAATCTGAGTTTCTTAGTCTAAAAGCGTTTCTTGTCCCCTGTGGCATATCAAGGCATGTGCATTTAAATATTGCTGCTCAACAGTATCTCTGGTAATCTTCTGCTTACTTACTCACTGGTCCATCTAACTGTATTTTCTAAATCTTCTAAACACATGGTTATTGCTGGAACAGTTACAGTGCAAGTAAGAACAATTTTTATATTTCCCCATTTTACTCTTTATTTGACAAAAAAAGCTCCTGCCAATATCTGCTGTTTCCCTAGACTTTTTTACAAGGCCTTCGGAGATTCTCGGGATGTGACTTTTGTTTGTAAGGGTTAAACTACAGTTCAGGCTTACTCAAAAAAAGTTTACCATGTGCTGAATATGTTGTCCTTTGCCACATCAAAAGCAGATTGAGAAGTAAAATGTGCAAAAAATGGCTAGAGAACATAGCAGAGTAAGAGCAACCAGATTTAGCAAGTTCTGTTCTCTGTTGTGTCTTCTGCACACCACCAGGCAGACTCAACATAATCTAAATGTGCTTATTATAGAAATAACTTGACCCTTTCACTCTAATATTGCTCCTAGCCTGCCATCTTTATTGAAATCTTTCCCTCAGGTTAACTAGTGGTTTAAAACTGAACTTCAGTCAAATCTAACCAACATTTTCATTCACTGATAACCAATTCAGTCTTAGTCAAGTGACTACTGATAGCATCAGTGTTTCCTACAGTTGTTCCCGTTTCCCAGAAGGATGGTAAAGCTTCCCACACCCCACTGGGCACAGTGGTGGAAGAGCTTAGTTGTACTGCAAAAGGCTGTAAACCACTGGCAGTGAAGTCTTGGATGTGCTGCTGTCTCCAGTGCCCACAGAGAATGTGGTATGTCTTGGCAGTGAAAACTGAAATATGTGAGGGTTCTTATGCTTGGTAGAGTGTTAAATTATACTGGTGTCTGATTAATTCAGCATTATGGATGCAACCTTAACTACCTGGTTGTAATCCTTAAAGTACACAAAGTTTTAATTTCTCCTCTTATAAGCCCTACAGGATAGGGAAGAATTCTGATGCAAATGCCACAAACAGAGAACTGAGAGAGGAGAGGAAGGGGAACTACTTACAGATCTAATTTTAGAATAATGAGGCCATCCCAAGGGCCTCTATGATCAGTGGGAAGAGCACTCTCAAAACAGACCCTGCGTGCACATTAGTAGTCCTTCAGCAGAATGGTTTGGGTCATTCTTCCTTTGGCTTGTCTTCCTTTCCACGCTGTGCCAGGGTGGGGAGTAGATTTCACACAGCTGTAGAAGCCCAATTGTTAAAAGAGATGCCTGTGATGTTAATCCAAATAGGAAAAAGAAAGCCCCCTTAAAACCAAACAATCCCCAAAGCACTTCCTCTGCACCCACCATCTCTCTCTGTGACTTGGGCCGTTTCAGGGCAGGGCTGCTCCACAAAGCTGTGGAGTCATGACAGCCCCCGGGGAGAGGCAATGCGAAGCTGAAGGTGATGGGAGGACCCAAGCCCAGAGGTGCTTTCAGAGCAGCACCACACTGACCTGTGCCCTGAGCAAGTGGGCCCAGCAGCGCCTTCCTGTCCTCTGTGTCTGGTTCTGGGCTCCTCCGTATAGGAGAGTCATGGAGCTCCTGGAGCGGGCCCAGTGAGAGGCAACAACGTTGATCAAGGGACTGGAGAATCTCTCCTGTGAGGAAAGGCTGAGGGAATTGGGCCTGGACACAATAGATTGGACTCAATGATCTCAGAGGTCTCTTCCAACCTAATTGATTCTGATCAGCCTTGAGGAGAGAGACTGAGGGGGGACCTCATCAATGTCTGCCAGTATCTGAAGGGAGGGTGCCACGAGGATGGAGCAGGCTCTGACTGGTGGTGCTGAACAATAGAAAGAGAGACAACGGGCAGAAACTGATGCACAGTTCCACCTGGACATGAGGAAGAACTAAATGACCGCGCGCTGGAGCAGGCTGCCCAGAGAGGGTGTGGAGTCTCCCTCACTGGAGGCATTCAGACGCAATCCTGTGCTCTGGGATAACCCTGCTTGAGCGGGGAGGCTGGCGCAGATGACCCGCCGTGGCTCTGTGAGTGTGGAGCGGGCACAGCCCGTTCCGAGGCTCTCACTGTGTCACAGCCGTGACTCCCCCCCCGGCCGCCCCTCAGGCAGCCCCGGCGCGAGCAGCACCAGCAGCATGACGTCACCCCCGCGCGCAGGGCGCACGCGTGGCGTTGCGGCGCGCGGCCGGGCCGCCCCCCCCCGCGGGAGCAGCGGGGGCCGTTCCCACAATGCCGCGCGGCGCCGCCCGCCCCGCGCCGCCATGGAGGCGGCGGGAGCGGCTCCCGAGCCCGGCCCCGCTCCCGGCCGGCCCCGCTCCCGCTGAGCCCCGCGCTCCCCCCGGGAGGCAGCATGAGCGGCGGCGGCTCCTCGGCACCCGGCCGCTTCGCCGACTACTTCGTCATCTGCGGGCTGGACACCGAGACCGGGCTGGAGCCGGACGAGCTCTCCGGTGAGTGGCCGCGGCCGGCGCTGCTCGGAGCGGGACTCGGAGCTGCTGCCCCGTCCCGCTGTCCCCGGGCGCTGCGGCAGCAGCTGTGCCCGCCGGGCGGCTGTCCCGGGCGTGCGGGCACGGCCGGCTGTGGCCCCGGGTGTGCCCGGCTGTTCCCCGGCTGTGCCCGCGGCAGTGCCCGGCTGTGGCCCCAGCAGTGCCCGGCTGTGGCCCCGGCAGTGCCCGGCTGTGGCCCCGGCTGTGGCCGGCTGTGGCCCCGCGGCTGTGGCCCCGGCTGTGGCCCCGGCAGTGCCCGGCTGTGCCCGCGACAGTGCCCGGCTGTTCCCCGGCTGTGGCTGTGCCCGCGGCAGTGCCCGGCTGTTCCCCGGCTGTGCCTGGCTGTGCCCCGGCACAGGGTGTTGTAGCGATGCCCGAAGGCGGCCGGAGCGCCGCCGTGCCCCGCGGCGTGCGGAGCGCGGTCCGAGCGGGGCCGCCCAGCCAGCCCAGCAGCGATGCCCTGTCCTGCGCGCTCCTCGCAGCCCCGCTGCCTGTGTCAACTTCTGCTTGGGCATTCGGCACGCACAAGAAATCGGATTTTGGAGAGAAAGCGAAGACCGTCTGCGTGTTCCGTGTTACGTTTCGTTGTAGCACAGGATAAGAATTTTCTCCCAGCAGAATCTGAAAAGAAGTCAGATTAGGAAGTGATTGCTCTGCTGTTGGACGGGAAGGTTCACACTAAATACACAGCTAAACCGTGTCAGTCTATACCACAGCACTGTGTCAAACCAGTGTTTTTAAGGTTAAAAATCGGTCCTGTGTTTTAGCAGCACCTTGCTTCAGCTTTAGTCTCGCTATACCGGCCTCAGGTAAATCAGATTGTTGCTTAGCATCTCTGAGTGTTCAGAAAGCCGAAGGAATGTGGTGGTGAATACCTGTGTATTGGAGCGCTGAACTTGACCAATAATACATTCTTCCCTCCCTCACACTTGTTTTTGTTGTTATTAGCTTGCTTTTATAAGATATCATAAGGGGTTTTTTACATCATTGCATTTAAGCCCTCCCCCACTAAATAAATACTTGTTTCTTGTAGAGTGAAGTTTGCGTTACTAGAACTGACTTCTTGCATTGAGCTTTCGTACTCTTTGGCTATGATAGAAACTCTTTTTTTCCTCATTTAATGACTTCACATTTTCTCTTATGTGCCTCATGCTGAGCAGTACCTTAACCTGAAAGAATTCATGTTTGTCTTATGTTAAAGTAACTGTAGGCTACAGTTTGAGACTTGAAGAGTAAGTACAGCATAACAGTCTGCTCTATAATGGCACTGTAAATTACAGCATCAATTTAATTTGAGAAATCCAAGAAAACAAAATGCGTACAATTTTGTTGAGGGATACAAGATTTTTTTTTTAATTAAATGACAAGTGAACAAAATTTCTAGATTGAAAACAATTAAAAATATGTTAATTTTGTTATTCATTTACTGTATATCTGTTTGTGTAATGTAGTGCAAGGCACACTCAGTAATGTTCCCTGTTCTTGGTAGGAACATGAATGGCTCTCCTCACATAATTCAATATAAAACCAGCAGTGCATTACTTTGGGCTAGCTGTCTAATAGTAAACTGGAAGACATCAGTGCCTTTTTTAAAATATTCTGTCAGAGTGAGCAGGTCTGAAAGTTGGAGCATGATGTTCTTTCTGTATTTGCTCTCCTGGTCAAGGACTACATTTACAGGATGTAAAACTGTAGTGTGTGATGTATCTTGGTCTCCGCTATTGCACCATCGTACTGTAACAGTGTTGCTTGTGACAAGGTGTGGGGTTTTGGGGGAGAATAGTTTTTTTTTATTTATGGGGGAGACAGATTTTTGCATGATTTGAAGAAAGGTTTTAGAAAACAGGGTGAACGAGGGGGAGGAGGATGAATTTCTGATAATGTCACAGCACATGAGATAGCTGGAATTCTGCTGCATTTTCTTGAGTTTGTTGTGTTATTAATAATGCATGATAGTGTGACTGATAATGCTTTCAAATTGTGTCTTAGGTTATAGCCTTCGCCAGTGTCCACTGATAAAAATGGAAAGGACCTCTGTTGATTTCAGTGGGTTTTGGATAAAGCTTTGAAACACTTTGTACTTCCTGGAAGCCTTTCTTCTTTGAATGAAAGGGTTATTGTGCACTGTTCCCCCCCCCCCCTTCTTATTTCTGTGCTGCAAAATAGATTCTGAATCCTTGTACTGTTGAAGCAATTCGCCTCATAAGTGCCCATTGTTGGGGGAGAGGCGCTGGCACTTCAGCTGGTGGGTGCAGGGGTGGGAGCCGGGACCGGGATCCTTCCCCGGCGCGGCGAAGCCGGGCACGGCGGGTCTCTCCAGGGCTTTCCTGCGCCAGGGCTGCCGGAGCTCAGCCTGGCATGATGTCATCGCTACCCCACCGCCGCAGGGAGCCGGCGGCCGCTGCCAGCGCCTCCGGGGATGCTGCCGGCAGACTTTGTTCTCACCAGGCTGATGAAGCCGTGTATTTCAAGTGTTCAGCCTCGACATCGGTGATACAGCGTTTTCTGCAGAGTTAGAAATGAAGCAGAAGCTCGTGGATTGATGCTCGGTCTAGTTACTTTGTTTGGAGAGACACCTCTGATGGCGTTTTTCCTTTGTATGCTGGGAGCTTACTGAATAGCACAGCTGTAATGCTTTTTCCTACAAAAGTTTGCTGGCTGATGGAAAACGCACAGAGTGTATATATATATATGTGTATATATTTTTGTTTTCTCTTAATGTTGTGAGAAACCCTGTATTTGGGACTTCGTAGTTAGTGTGGGTTAAAGATTCTCTATTCCCAGGGCTTTTTTATCCCCAAATTCGGTTCTGGGCATCCTTTCTTATTTTGCTAATTGTGTTTACACTGGGTAATCTACTAAAGGAGATAGGAGAAATTTGGTAGGTGTTAGTAAAACAAAAGAAACAAAAACCCCAACACTGGATAAAGCTTAAGCTTAAGTGTCAGCTGCTAAGGTGCATTTCCACGTTTCCAGATGGTGTTGATATGCCAGGAAGTGATGACAGAAATCTCTTAAGTACACTGCAGAGGTCTCTTACGGGTAAGTTTCCTTCGTAGAGCAAATCGCAGAAGGGTTGAGGTTGGAAGGGACCTTTGGCAGTTGTTGGGTCCAACCCCCCTGCTGAAGCAGAGCCACTCAGGGCCAGGTGCCCAGGACAATGTCCAGGTGCTTGTGAGTATTGCCAAGAAAAGAGATTCCACAACCACTCTGGGTGACCTGTGCCAGTGCTCAGACACCCTCACAGTGAAAAGGTGTCCCCTGATGTTCAGATAGAACCTCCTGTGTTTTGGTTTGTGCCCATTGCCTCCTGTCCTGGCACGATACAGAGCCTGTCTCTGTTGTCTCTGACACTGACAAGATTCTGCCCTGAGCCTTCTCTTCTGGAGCCTAAACAGTCCCCTCTCTCTCAGCCTTTCCTCATATGGAGATGGTCCAGTCCCTTTTTTATCTTTGTGGCCCTTTTCTGGGCTCTCTCCACCATATGTCCATGTCTGTCTTGTGTTATGGAGTGCAGAACTCCAGGTGTGGCCTCACCAGCGCTGAGTAGAAAGGCAGGATCACCTCCCTTGGTCTTCTGGCAATGCTTTTGACTAACGCAGCCCAGGATACCATTTGCCTTCTTTGGAGCAAGGGCACGTTGTTGGCTCGTGATCATTGTGACTGCCAGGAAATGATGAAATACATCAACTCCCAAAAATCTTCTGTATGTAATATAACATATTGTAATGCTGCAACACTATGAAAGGACTTCTTAATTTAGGTTGTGTGACTGTGCCCTGGAAAGGTAATGAGAATGAAGCTGTGCCTTATCTCCCAGCTGGAGTCCCTTGGCTGTTGAGTTGGTTAGATGTGATCTACCTGTCTGTTGGAGGGAAACTTTGCAGTGTATGGAACAGTTAGAGTTTCTGTTCTGTGTTCTTTTTCACTGAAGGACTTTGTTTTCTTTTCCTTCTCTGTAGTGTCTTGGTTTTTAACAATCACTTGCCAGTAGAGTTTGTTTATTATGGAGTGGCAAAGCAGAGAATCAGTTTGCCATTGCGTTACACTTATGTGTAATTGTAAGTGGTATTTGTAGTCTTTTGCTGTTACAAAGTATGGAACTTGGATCCAAGTATCTGGATACCATGTGGTGTAGTCTAAAATTTTTTGCTGCATGTGCCTTAGTCTTGAATGTTGTGTCATAAAGATTACAATAGTTATTTCAGAAATAAGTGTTACACAGCAGAAATAGTCTAAAGAAAAAAAGAAAGAAAACGCCTATGATCTGTGAACATCAATGATTTAATAATAGGATTGTTTTATAGAACATCTTACTCTGGAACACTAAGACCAGTGACCTTTACTAATTTTTTTAATCTGCCTGTCTTCCCAGTCTGAACTGGTTTTTAAGGTTTGGCCCCAAAATTAATTTATTTAGTAAATGGACTTGTGTTTCTTTGTGAAGGTCCTTATCATGGTGCTTTGGGTTGTCCATCTGGTTATGAGCTTCATTCTTAGAGGAGGATGAAAATAGTGTTAGGCGAAGCCCATGTGTCCAGGAAATATCCTTCCCATAGACACCCATGTGTGTGTGGATTATGTAGCATAACAAGAGTGGTTATGAGTAAGGCATCTATGACACAGTAGCCACTATAAGTATTGCTGTGGTGTGAAATTTTAAAGGAATTGATATCTGGTGTATGGTGTTCACCTAGCTCCACTGAACCCCACCAGTAAGATGAAAATATTGTCTCACCTCATCTCTCTGTAATTGGAGTGTCATTATTTATCTATTTTGTTGGCTGCAGATTTAAAATGAAAGCTGAATTCTGTATCAATATAAACTTCTTAAAAAGATATGGGTCTCATGAAATGATTGAAAGTATTTACCACATATATAATCCGATAGAATCGCTTAGTGTTTTGGAATTAGTGTACCATTTCCATTGTGGTAGTCCATGAAGTAATGCTGTTATCAGCAT